GCGGAGCCACAGGTCCGCTACGACACGCGTCCGCGGATAGAGAAAATCAGCGCCATGGTAAGGGATGGGAGGGAGGGGTAGGACGTCAGATATGACGCGAGCGCCCTAGTTTGTCCCCCCCCTCCCCTCCCCTCCCCTCCTCCTCCCCCTCCCCTCCCCTACCCCCTCCCCCCCCCCCTCCCCTCCCCCTCCCCCTCCCCCTCCCCCCCTCCTCCTCCCCCTCCTCCTCCGCCGCCTCCTCCTCCTCATCCTCCTTCGTTTTCTTCTTAGTGTTCGTGTTCGTCGTCTTCTTATTATTATATGAATATTAGTAGTGTTAATGTTAGTATTAGTATTACCATTAGTAGTGTGATTGTTACCAATGGTGTTAATAGTATTGCTAGTTGTATGATTACTATTATCATTATTATTAGTATTAGTATTGCAATTAATACTATTAGTATTATTATTAGTAGTAGTAGCAGCAATAGTATTAGTATTAGTGGTAGTATTAGCATGATTGTTATCAATCGTAGTAGTAGTAGTAGTTGTAGTAGTAGTAGTACTATTAGTTTTAGTAGTATTCTTATTGCTATTAGTATTAGTATTATTAATAATACCATCAGTGCTGTTAATATTATTAATAGTCGTATTAGTCTTACTCTTCTCAATATTATTGTGATTAGTCATCTTCTTCTTCTCATTGATAATTTAATTTTAGTAATAGTATTAATAGTAGTATGACTAGTACTCTTATTCTGCTTTGTATTATTACTAGTACTAGTAGTAGTAGTAGTAGTAGTCGTCGTCTTCTTATTCGTATTCTTATTATTATTAATAAGTATTAGTAGTAGTACTACTAGTAGTATTCTTTCTCGTCGTCACATTATTATTATTGATAGTATTCTTAGTGTTCGTATTATTATTATTAGTCGTATTGGCATTCTTCGTCTTCGTATTATTATTATTCGTCGTCTTCGTCTTACTAGTATTCGTCTTAGTATGCGTCTTATTAGTATTGTTGTTCTTCTTATTATGATTAGTATTATTCTTTATAGTCTTAGTACTAGTACTATTCTTATTCGTCTGATTAGTCGTAGTCTTCTTCTCATTCGTATTATTAATCTTAGTATTAGTATTATGCATATGTTTATGCTTCTTCGTCTTCTTCTTATTAGTATGATTCTTCTTATTCGTAGTATTATTATTCCTCTTATTATTATGCTTCTCCATCGTCGTCTGTTTCTTCTTAGTTGTATGATGATTATTAGTATGATTCGAATTCTTATTATTATTAGTATTCCTCCTCCTCCTCCTGCTCCTCCTCCGCCTCCTCCGCCTCCTCCTCCTCCTCCTCCTGATCCTCCTCCTCATCCTCCCCCTCTTCATCCACACCCTCCTCGCCATCCTCGTGATGTTCCCAACCATCCTCCCCAAAGTGTTTCCCGAAGGGTTTCCACAACAACTGTGGGAACACATGGTCCGACAGGTTGGCAGAGCTCCTGCCACAACGCCCAGCCACATGGGCGATCGTAGAAAGCAGGGAGCGGCGGTGATTCGCCGCAGGCGTTTTCGATAAGTATGCACAATACGAATTACACCCCTCGCAGACAAAATGCTCAGCCGCACTGGCGGGGGAACACTTCCACAGTTCGGGATGTCTGCGTCTCAGTGATAGGAAGAGCCGGCATCGAATGAACACTCCGACGGTAGGACCCCGCGTGAGAATATGTATATACTGCCATTCGCTCTTGCCTCTTCGTCCTGGCCGGAATCCCCCGTCTCGCCCTCTCTTGCGCCTCTTCCTCATCCTTGTTGTTTTCCTCGCTACAGGTTTCCGATGGCCCACTCTGATTACCAACATGAAATGCGGACCCCATAGGGAGGGGCTCCCCCCCGGAGACTTCCTCACAAATAACTTTCAGACGAGGCTCCTTCCTGGTCGATGATCGCGATGGGATGATGATATGAATGCGTGATGATAGTGAGGGTCATGGTGAATGATGGTGAGTGGCGACTGATTGATGACAACGGTGAAGAATGATGATGGGGTGGACAATAGGGTTTGTGTATGTGAGAGTGTGTGCTGATGATTATGAACGAGTGTGCGCTGATGAGTATCCAAATAGGCTTGCCCTATAAGAGTCCTAGCTCATCATAAGTAACTGGTCTTTAGCACCCCCCCTTTTCCAATGGCACCCCCCTTATTTCCAATGGCAACCCCCTCCCCCCCTTTTTCCAGTGGCACCCCCCCTTATTTCCAATGGCACCCCCAAGCTATTTCCAATAGCGAGTCCTATGCTTGCTCTTGCTTGCTTGCACTTGATCGCTGTCTCTCGCTTGATTGCTCTTGCTTGCTCTTGCTTGCTTGCTTGCTCTTGCTTGCTTGCTATTGCTTGCCCTTGCTTGCTTGCATTTGATCGCTGGCTCTTGCTTGCTTGTTATTGCTCGCTTGCGCTTGCTTGCTTTCGCTTGCTTGCTTGCGCTTGCTTGATGTTGCTCCTCCCGTCCTCATCCCGTCCTGCTCCCTTCCTCCGGTCGTCCTCCTCCCATCCTCCTCTCGTCCTCCTCCTGCCCTCCTATATATCTATTTGGAGTCAACGGATGCTGATATGATGATGATGATGATGATGATGATGATGATGATGATGATGATGATGATGATGATGATGATGATGGTGGTGGTTCTGATGATGGTGAGTGTGATAACGATTGCGATGGTGATGGTGATGGGGTGGAAGCGGGGGGAGGGTGGGAGGAGATCCTGCGCGGAGATGTGCAGAGAGAACAAGAACCCCACTCAGGATGTGGGGAATACAACAGCAACGTCGCTATGAACGCTGGGCTGCCACAAGCCAGCTACTCCAGATTTCGTAATAAAGTAGGAGGGGTCACATTTGGGGGGGGGTCTGATTTGAGCTGTCTTGGAGGGTTCGGGGGGGTCTGGGCAAAGGGCCGCCCTTTCATGGATGGTCTGGGGGGGTCTAAAACTTCTCGTCTGGGAGGGTTGTGACCCCATCCCTTCTATTACGACATCTGGAGTACCCGCACGGCAGTTTGTCTGAAACCTCTAGCCGAGCACCCCCAGGATTACTCGACGCGGATATCCCCACATGCACATCTCATGTTGCCGGCATTCTTCTGGCACGTCTTCTGTGGGCATCTGCCAATGAACGTCTGTGTGAGGGCAGGGGCCCGTAGAACACCTCCCCGAGCGCAGTTTAACACCTTCCTGGGCCCTGTGTAACACCTCCCCGGGCGCCGCAAAACCTCCCTGGGCCGCGAACAACACATCCGCGGGCACCCGTATAACAACTCCCCGGGCGACGTATAACACCTCCCCGGGCGCCGTATACAACCTTCCCGAAGCCCGCATAACACCTTCCCTGGGCCCGTGTAACACCTGCCTAACGCCCGCGCAACACCTCCCCGGCGCCGTCTAACACCTCCCCTGGCACGTATAACATCTCCCCGAGCGCTGTATAACACCTCCACCAGCGTCGTCTAGCGCCTCCCTGGGGCGCTGTATAACACCTCCGCCGGCGCCCGTATGACACCTCCATGGGACCCTATAACACCTCCGCGGCGCCATATGACACCCCCCTGGGCCCTGTAGAACACCCCCGCAACGCCCGTATAACACCTCCCCGGGCGCTGTATAACACCTCCCTGGCGCCCGCCCCCAGGCAGGGCGGAAACCCAATGCAAAATTCTAGGGTTGCCATGTGGAGCTTATTCGGAGGGTCGAAGCAAGTCCCGTGTGATTTCGACGATCTAAGATGCTGCCCCTGTCAATATTCCTTTACGGCGGGGTCCCGAATCCAGGTAGACACGGGGCAAATCGCGCCTCTGACCGAAATGCTCCATTATCATCATCATCATCATCATCATCAGCAGCAGCAGCACCACCACCACCACCATGATCATCATCATCATCATCATCATCATCATCATCATCATCATCATCATCATCATCATCATCATCATCATCAGCAGCAGCAGCAGCAGCAGCATCCTCATCATCAGCATCAGCATCATCATCAGCCAGCATCAGCATCAGCATCATTATCATCATCATCATCATCACCATCATCATCAGCAGCAGCATCAGCATCAGCATCAGCATCATCTTCATCATCATCACCACCACCATCATCATCAAAATCAGCATCATCAGCATCAGAGTCATCAGCATCATCATAATCATCAGCAGTTGCATCAGCATCAGCATCATCATCATCGTCGTCATCACAATCACAATCACAATCACCATCACCATCACCATCATCGTCATCAGACTCAGCATCATCGTCATCATCATCATCAGCATCATCATACTCATCATCATCAGCAGCAGCATCAGCATCAGCATCATCATCGTCATCATCAAAATCACCATCACCATCATGAATTACCATCACCACCATCATTATAATCATCATCAGCAGCAGCATCATCATCATCATCATCATCAGCAGCATCAGCATCATCATCGTCGGTGTAGTCTTCATCATCATCACCACCACCATCATCATCAGCAGCATCAGCATCATCATCATCATCGTCACAAGCATCGTCAAATGTCATCATCAGGATCATCATGATCATCAGCATCATCATCATCGTCATCATCATTGTCACCGTCGTCATCGGCATCGTTATCGTCATCGTCGTCATCATCATCACCATCACCATCCTGTAGTATGATCCTCGAGGCACACCCGCTCAATGAACGAAAGCTCCCCTTCCTCCCTATACTACTCCCTATCCTCCTCCTCCTCCTCCTCCTCCTCCTCCTCATACTCCTCCTCCTCCTCCTCCTCCTCCTCCTCCTCCTCCTCCTCCTCCTCCTCCGCATTCTCCTCCCTCCTTCTCTTCCTCCTCCTCCTCCTCCTCCTCCTCCTCCTCCTTCTCCGCCTCCTCCTCCTGATCTTCCTCTGCATCCGCCTCCTCCCCCTCCTCCCGATCCTCCCCGCCCGTTTCCTCCCCTCCCCCCCGCGCGCATCCGCGCCACGCCATTTTGGGCGTCAGATGCGCGTCGCCGCTCGTCACCGCGCGGCCGCGCTACGTGTTCGACCATTGGCTCCGTGTTACCAACAGGCCTTTGGCGATTTCCGGCGGTCTTCGGCGGTCCTCTGCGCGAAAGCTGGGCAGCTGCGGTAACGAATGGTCTATGATCGAACACTTAAGGCCGCGGATACAGCGCAGGAGGTCACTCGAAGAGGTAAGCCAACCACCTCAGGGCTCCCGTCCGCGGTTTGGCGGGGCAGGGAGGGGAGGGCAGGGGTGAAAGGTAGGGAGCGGGTCAGGGGACCAAAGGACGAGGAGGGGCATATCAGGAAGGGGGAGGGGTAAAGTCGGAAACTGCCAAGCACAAGCTGTATGCAACTCAAAAGCTCACAAAATTTCGGGTTCATCGTGCCAAGCGGGCCGCTCTAATGAACATGGTACCATTGTGGAAATCTCACCGAACTCCAACGTTGCGTCCACTGCCTTCGTTGCCTTCTTCACCGCGCCCCTTTCCGATGCGCGATGGAGCACCACACTGCAAGCATGTAAGATCACAGGCAGACAAAGACAGTCATTTACATATTGGCGCCGAAGCGGCAAGTCAGCTCAGAAGAGGAAACAGCAGAACCTCGCATGCCGATAGGAAGCATGATTGCGATTGGTCTGTGAAAGCTCGAAAACCATAAGCTGATGCCTGCTCCCTCTCATCGTGTTCACCCCATCTTCGGTGGCATCTTTATGGGAGCCTCCTGCTTCCCCATCGATTTTCGGACGCTGACGCACCAAAAAAAGGATTTCGAGGACATACAGGCCCCCATGATTTGCTGCCGAACCCCATCCTTAAGTCGGGCCTGTCCCCCTACAGGGGGATTTTCTACAAAAAAACAACCCAAAAAATACCCGAAAAAGGTCAAAAAATACTCCAAAAAAAATCCCCAGACTATTGGGGGACTTTTTTTACTATTGTTGGAGTATTTTGTTATTTTTCGTCGAAAACCCCCCTGTAGGGGGACACGCCCGACTTAACCCCGTCCATCCCCCGCCTCCCCCCCCACCCGCGCCCGCTTCGGCCCTGCACGCGGCGCGTCGGCGCCGTCGGGCGACGAGGTCGACAGCGCGAACCGCTGCGCGTCAGACCGCACAGAGCCGCGCGCAGACGCGCGGCACGCCTCGGGGAGAGGCGGGCGAGGGGCACTGCCGCGCCCGCAGTTGCCGCGCTGCTGCCCCGAGGCCCCCCGACGAGCCCCCGGGGCTGGAAGTGAGAGGGGGCCGGGCCTTCTCTCGGGGATGGACAGACCCCCCTTCAGTAAGACGTGGTCTAGTGAAAACGACCTGAGGCCAAACCTGGCGGGCGCAAGCCTGGAAAATAACGGCCACGGCGCCATCTCGAGAACCGAAAACGGACAATTCACTAATCGACGCGTCACTGTTGGGGGTAGTGTCCACCCCCGATTCTCAGTGGGCCCAAAAGTCCTCCGGCCTTCTGAGAAGCCCTCTGGGCCTCCCCCGGAGGCGCGGAGACCTCCTCAGAGAAGGACCGAGACAGAGGTCAAGAGATCCACCCCCCTGAGAAAGAACCACCCCGACGCGCGCGAGGTCGTTCAGCAGACGCGCCCAAAGCAGGCATCGAATGGGGCGGGGCTGCTCAGGGAACGCCCCTCCATGATGGGCCTGTCTTCCACCACCACCACCACCACAAGTTGGAGGGGGGAAGGAGGAGGACGAAGAGGAGGAGGAGGAGGAGGAGGAGGAGGAGGAGGAGGAGGAGGACCCCCTCCCTCTCCAACTCATGGTGGTGGTGGTGGAAGACGAGCCCAGCACTCCGCCTGCTGGGACGGCCTGCCCCTCCTCGCTTTCACCCCCCCCCCGAGGCTCGCCGCCGACCCGGGCCTCGGCCACGGGGGCGCGCCCGCGGCGCGCCCCCTGCCGTGCGCGGGGCGCCGCGGGGCGCGCGCCCCGCGCGCGCCGGCTCTCGCCGAAGACGCCGCCAGGCAGGGCTCGCTTCGGTTCCTCCGACTCGGCTCGACTCGGTTCGACTTCGATGGCTTCCGACTCCGATTCGACTCGACTCTGGCTGCCGATTCGGACGCCGATGCCTCGGCGGTGGCCTGCTGGCCTGCCGAGGTCTACCGGCTCGACTTCTCCCGACTTGGCTGCCGATTCCTGCCGATCCGATTCATTTCGATCGCCGATCCGGCTTATCGATTCGATTCTGGGCTCTCCTGGCGCGCGCGCGCGCACTGCCCTGGAATGGCGCTACGAAGCGCCCGCCAGCGCGCGCTGCGCTGGGCCACGCTAGCCGCAGACGCTCCCCATCCTGAGATCCCGGCGTCCCAACTTGTTCGAGCCGGGCGATCTCGCCTTTTCTTCGGGCCCCAGGACCCTCGCAGATCGACGCGGCTCGAAAAGTAGCGCAGAAAGAAGGGGCGGGCCTTCTCAGAAGTCTCAGAAGTCCCCTGGCCTGGGCCCAGATTGGCAGAACGGAGGAGAAAAAGAAGAACAGCAGCAACAGCAACAACAACCACAACAACCACAACCACAACAACAACCACAACAACAACGACAACTACAACAACAACAACAACAACAACAACAACAACAACAACAAGGTACACCCCGGGACTGCGACCCCGTCACCCCCGGTTCCTCTCCCGGGCTCCCCCCCCTGGCGCAACCCGGACCTGCCGCCCCGTGCGGACCACCCCCCCCCCCCCCACACCAACCAACCAACCAACCAGCTCTCGCTGCAACACAAAAAAAAACTGTATATCACCTATGGGGAGGAGGAGGAGGAGGAGGAGGAGGAGGAAGGACGAGGAGGAGGACGGAGGGAGGAGACGGAGGCAGGAGGAGGAGGAAGGAGGAAGGAGGAGGAGGAGGAAGGACGACGAGGAGGACGGAGGGAGGAGACGGAGGGAGGAGGAGGAGGAAGGAGGAGGAGGAGGAGGAATGAGGAAGGATCGCCAAGGACAGCCCTTGATCCAGGATGGCTACAGATAGCTCAGCAGGGCAGGGAGGAGCAGCCAGAGGAAAGAGTGGAACGAGGGGGAGCTAATGAGGAACGAAAGGGGAGAGTGGGGTGGGGCGGCTGGGAGGGAGGGAGCAAGTAGGGAGCTACTCCACCCTCCTCCTCCTCCTCCTCCCCCTTCTCCTCCTCCTCCTCATCATCATCACCACCACCACCACCACCATCACCATCACCATCACCATCACCACCACCATCACCATCACCATCACCATCAAGATCACCATCACCATCACCATCACCATCACCATCATTATCATCATCATCGTCATCATCATCATCATCAGCATCATCATCATCACAATCAACACCATCATCATCGTCATCATCATCAGCATCATCATCATCTTCATCATCATCAGCAGCATCACCATCATCATCATAATCATCATCATCAGCAGCATCATCATCAGCATCATCATCCTCATCCTCCTCATCATCATCATCACCACCATCATCACCACTACCATCACCATCACCATCCCCACCACCACCACCACCATCATCATCAGCATCATCATCATCATCATCAGCATCAGCATCAACATCAACATCAGCATTATCATCATCAGCATCATCATCATCACCACTATCAGCATCATCAGCATCAGCATCATCATCAGCATCATCATCAGCATCAGCATCAGCATCAACAGCATCATCATCATCAGCAGCATCAGCATCAGCAGCATCATCATCATCATCATCAGCAGCATCAGCATCATCATCATCAGCATCATCATCACCACAACCACCACCATCATCATCATCATCAGCATAATCATCATCATCAGCATCATCATCAGCATCACCATCAAGATCATCATCATAATCATCAGTATCTGCATCATCACCATAATCGTCATCATCATCATCATCATCCTCATCATCATCATCATCATCATCATCATCATCCTCATCTGCATCATCATAATCGTCATCAATATCCTCATCACCACCATCATCATCATCATCATCAACATCATCATCATAATCATCATCATCATCCTCATCGCCGTCATTATCATCATAATCGTCCCCCTCCCCTCATCATCGTCCCTCCTTCTACTCATTATCATCGTCATCATCCCTCCCCGCCCGTCCCTCCTCCCTCCCCTCCAGCCCCTCCTGCTGCCGCTGCCTCCCTTTCCGCTCCCCAGAAGACATAAAAAGAGCGAGGAAGATAGAGAGGCAGAGACAGAGACAGAGACAGAGAGAGAGAGAGAGCGACGCACGCACGCACGCACGCACAAACGCACACACGCTCTCTGGCGGCCGCATGAAACGTAGACTGAAAGAGAAAACGCGCAGCATTGAATAGCAATATCCCTAATGAGCCCTGGTGAACCTTGAGGAAGACGCCCAAGACGGCCCTCCAGGCCCCCCAGACGGCCCCAGACGGCTCCAAAGGACCCCCCCAGACGGCGAGTGGGACCCCAGGATGGCCCAAGAGGGCCCCCAGAAGGGGGGGAATCGGGGGGAGGGGTTGGTTGGTTGGTGTGGGGGGTGGGGGCTGGGGGGCAAGACCCGGTGTCTTTCAACAACTACAACAACAACAACAACAACAACAACAACAACAACAACAACAACAACAACAACCAGACTTCTTCGCCAAGGAAGGAGCTCTTATTCGCGCACGTCTACAAGTCGATGTCAAGACGTTCGAGGTTCGTGTGCCTAAAGCCTGCATGCAGGCGAAGTACTTTGCTTGGGCAGCGGCCGAGATGGCCGCTCAGGATGCAGGCAGTGGTCGCCCTGAACGTCTTCTGGGGGATTCTGAGGGCAAGCCGCCCCGATCAGGATTAGTGGCTCACAGTGTGGTGGTGAACGGCTCCCAGGTTTCCCAACGTAAGTTGTGCCTTGCGGTTGCCCGTGCCCGGGCCTGCCTTGGGAAGCTCTTGGGGAGCCCCTGTGAGCCAACAACCCAAGAGAGGCTCAAGGCTCGGGCCGACCTGGTGCTCCAGCAGGCCCCTCCTTTGAAGTCTCATGCGGTGCAGACTGTTGTGCGATTAGCTGGCTCTGTACAGGCGGCCGCAGACCTGCAGGCTGGCGCTCGGGCGAGAGGGGCCAGAGGTGCAGCGGCCGTCCCTGAGGAGATCGTCGGGCTCAAAGGGTACCAGGCTCTGATCAGCCCTCTGGCCATGGTCTCTGCCCTATGTGGCTCCCATCAGGTGTCCAGTGGCAAGGCAGCTCGCTGTAAGT